GCCTCGGCCTCCCAGAGTGCTAGGATTACAGGCGTGAGCCACCGCGCCTGGCCCTTTTTTTTTTTTTAAAGTAAGGATTTTACGAGATCTCTCCTGAGATAGACATCCCAGGGTCTTGTAAAGGTTACATTATGACCAGCATCACTGGTCCTCAGGCATTGTGTTCCAGGCCTGACCTCCAAGCCATTCCCACCTGAGAAGGCCACGGGCGCCCTCTCTGTAAAGAGGGGTATTTGCAGGGACCTGCCAGCTCCCTTGGTGGCTCAATGGCAGGGAGGTGTGCTGTGTACAAGCTGGTTTATGTCTGGCCCTCAGAGGGAAAGAAGTGAGGACAGGCTGTGTGAGCACATTTGCTTTGATTCCTAAGAACCTACGCAGTGTCTACCCCCAGCCTCTGAAAAAACAGTAATCGTCCTTGCCAACTGTCGTTAGTTATTTTTAGGAAAATGTGCTCTGACAGCAACTAGGGATTAGAATCTTTTCAGAGGAATAATTGTATTGATTACACCCTTGATATTTAGTTTCCCTTTAACCAAGTTTTCTGTGCCCTTAAATTTTGAGGCTGCCCATTGAATGGCAAAGACATGCAGTGATAAGAAAGGGGGTGTCTCAGGACTACACAGGCAAACCCCACGCCCAGGAGGCCACCGTAAAGAGGAAACCTGGTTCTCACCGCGAACGTTTGCCTGTACTTCCCCAACCATGAAAATAATACATCCCAAGACGATTCCTTTCGGAAGGATGACAGCCACCTTGGTCATTAAAAAGAATATTTCGGGCCAGTCAGCCTGATCCTTTCCTCGTATTAAAGGACTGATAGATGGGTAGGTCTTACCTCTCTTGTGGTTTGGGTCACGGGGTCCCGTGTGTGTGGAGGGAGGGGTATGGACGAGACTCCATTTCCAGAAATCCCTTCATGGCTCCCGAAGAATCCCATGGCTCGGTGAGGCTTCTCTGCCCTGCCGTGTTGGCTTGTAGGATAGTCACCCTCTCGTGCCCTTGGGCTAAACTCACTGTTTGTTTTGGACGCTTCTGCAAGACCGGGGTAAACAGGTGGGCAGGCGCAGTGTGAGTGGAGGGGGCGGTTCCCAGAGGCAAGTTGGCCACGTGAGGGCAAAGAGGCCAGGAGCGGCAGGGGAGCAGAGCAGGCCCAGAGCCAGAGCCCCCGGGGGAAGTCACAGTCACGGCTGGGACGCTTCCCCAAAGCAGCTGGGAGCCGCGAAGGGCTGGGTTTGCTTTTGAGAAAGAGACTAGAGAAAGAGAAGAAATGGAGACACTTGAGCATCCGATGGCAGGTTGGGCAGGGAGGCCTTGGCTACACAGACACCGGAAACCCTGCGATTCCACACGGAAGGAGGCCCTTTCCTGGAGGAAATAAAGAGTTTTCGTAAAGACAGCGGGAAAAGCCAAAGGTAGGTTTGTAAGTGGCTAGTTATTTGTATTTCTTTGCCTCTCAGTCTGTTTTGCATCTTGACCAGTTTGCAAATAAAATCCAATCGAGTATAATTTATAGTGTCATTTGGACACTACTGGTGTTAAGAGGGAAGCACAGTCGCCCTGGGCGGGGGGCGGTGAAAATAAAACTCAGGTCCCCATCTTCGCTGACAGCGCAGGTTGGGGCATCTGGCAGCTGCTCTCGGCACCGTTCTGGAGAAAAATGGAGAAAGAAAATGTATGTGTCCCACACAAAATGAAATACTAAGCCTTGAAAAAGAAGGAAATTCTGAAGTGATGGGCCCTGCTAAAAAGCAAAAAAGGAAATCCTATCCTTTGTGACAACACGGGTGAACCTGGAGGACATTGCGCTGAGTTGAATAAGCCACACACAGACGGATACACAAGATTCTGCTTGCGTGTGGGGTCTAAGGAAGGTGACTCACAGGAGCAGAGCGTGGAGTAGTGGTCACCAGGGGCTGGGGAGGGAACGGCAGGGTGCTGGGCAAAGGGTGCAAAGGTCCAGTCACGCAGGACCAGCGGGGTGTGGAGACCTCAGGTGACCGGTCAGCAATGCTGCCTTGTGTGTCTGAAATCTGCGAGAAGTAGATCTTGTGTTCTCATCCTCCACCCCCCGAAAGGTAATTACGCGAGGTGACAGATACGGTAGCCGGCTTCACTGGGGGAATCGTATCGCAGTGATACGACACCAGAACGTCACGGCGTGCATCACTGCACACAGTCAACTCAAGCAACACGGGTCTGAACTGAGCGCGTCCACTTACGTGCAGATTATTTGCAATAACAGTCACAAGAGAGTCTGCCCTGCCTGCCTCCCCTTCCGCCTCCTCCACCTCCCCCGCCTCTGCCGCCCCAGCAACAGCAACACCAACCCCTCCTCTTCCTCCACCTCAGCCTCCTCGGCATGAAGAGGAGGAGGATGAGGCCTTTATGATGATCCACTGCTGCTTAAGAGTAAACATGTTTCCTCTTCTTTATGATCGCCCTAATAACATGGGCTTACTTTACTGTAACAATGTAGTAGTACGTAACACGTATAAAAATGTGTTACTCAACTGTTTGTTACTGGTGAGGCTTCCAGTCAGCAGGAGGCTATTAGTAGTAAAGCTTTGGGGGAGTCAAGTCATATGTAGATCTTTGACTGTGCAGGGGTCAGTGCCCCTAAACCCTGTGTTGTTCCGTGAATGGGCTGTATGTGCAAAGCGACCCCCAAATGCCAAAGGAGCCGAGAAACCAGAGAATGAGGCAGACAACCCAGCTTATCAGCGTAGGATGACTCATTAGAGGCATTTACGGCCAGAAGCCTGGTCTTAGGTGGCTGTGAGGCGGGTAGATCTCTGCGCTGTGACCCCCAGCCCCGGGGCTCATACCTGGCGGAGGAAGTACATGTGCTCTGGGAGGAGCGCATAGCGGCCGAGAGGACGCTGCTGGCATCACGGTGCACCAGCTTCGCGGTGGTTTTGCAGGAAAGGTGGAACTTGCAGTGACCAGGTTCTACATAAAGAGAAATACATCGACTGGGCATTTTGGAGATGTTCCCAGACCCAGGGTTAGTCAGGCAGATTAGCATTTAAAAACGAAGTCACTCTTGTCCCCACAGTTGTTCGAGGATCCACTGTATACAATTCTTATCTGTCCTTTACAGCTCAATAAAGCTGGATGAAATCAAAACCCGCAAGGCACTGAGGGCCAAGAGGAGATCAGTAGGCGGCACGTCAGAGCCGCTCTCCCAGAGGCAGCCCCCCCACCGCCAGCCCTGTCCCTGCCATCGTGCCCCCCGACAGAGTTCCGTCTCTTTTGGGTCAAATTCTCTAAGAAGTTAAGCTCGGCATTAGAACTGCTGAAAACTGGAGCCCGTGAATTGGTGCTTCTGACACGTTCCCTCGTTTTCCCTCCCGCCTGTGCGTGGTGGGGTGTAGAGATCGCTGCGGCTCGGGCTGCGTTCCCCAAAATTCGCATGTTGAAGTCCTGACCCCCAGTACGTCGGAATGTGACGGGGTCTTTAAAGAGGTAATTAAGGTAAAATGAGGTCACTCGGGTGGGCCCCAGTGTAATACGATTGGTGTTCGTACAAGAAGAGGAAATTAGGACCCAGACACATACGGAGGGGTGACCATGTGAGGGCACAGCCAGTCGCTGCCCTCTGCAGCCAAGAAGAGAGGACTCAGGTGACACCAAGCCGGCCGCCACCTTGATCTTACACTTCCAGCCTCCAGAACTGTGAGAAAATGACTTTCTGTTGTTTAAACCCCCAGTCTGTGGCAG